CCCCCCCCCCCCCCTTGAAGGTGACGATGCGTACGGGGAGATGGACGAAGATAGAGTGCGAAGGTTTCGTACGCGGGCTTAAGAAGCATGGCGAGGCATGGTCGGTAAGAATAGTGGCTTTGGCGTTCGTTCTTTCCATTCGCACACGAAACTCTCATGACACACGCACACACTTCGCTGTTTGGACGTATAGTGTGGACCCTCTCTCTCCCCGCGTCGCCCCCGCGAAACCGACGTGCGTCAATCTCGGCGTTGTGGAGATACTGGATATCTCTGGTCTGGAGTGTAGCCACGCGCGATGCGTCGCAGACCCCCCCCCCCCCCCCCCCCCCCCCTCAACACGAAGGAGCGAAGGAGAGGGAAGTGTACGTGACTGAGCTGGGAAAAATAGAAGCAAGGTACAGGGAGATGCTTGAGGCATGGTGAAGCCAAGAGAAGGAGGTAGCTGTGCTGGGACATAGGAAGTGGATTGAACAGGCGGGAAGTGATATTGATAGGATAGATGGACGAGGGAGACATTTTTTAGTCCACCTTTGACAAAGTAGGAAGGAACGGTTGGCCATCGGTGATCGGTCCTGTCGGAACAATGCTCCGTCCTCTCGAGGACGCGTGGTCCTTGGCCTAGCCGCTAAGGCATCCCTTCCCCCCCTTTCCTGTGGGGAAAATGCTCTGTCCAGTCCAGGGCGCGTGCTAAATGGTCTAACCGCTAAGGCACGCAAAACATGAGTACCGAGTACCCCTCGACCCCCCACCACCACAAACGGAATGGCGTTTCTCTTCCTCGAATCTGTACGGTCGGCGAGAAGGACGACGGCGACAGCCACCATTCTGAAGCGTGGTACAGTAGGCCACTCCACGTTATTTTTGAGCGCGTTGGAAACCCCCCACCATGACCCGCAGCAGTTACATGTTATCTTCGCCTGGTCGGCATCAAGAAGGGCGTTTCGTGTTTTTAAGATTCTTGGAAGAGGCATTCGGCTACACGGTACGCTCGGTAAAACAGCAGTGAAAAATGTGGCTTTTTGAGGAGGAGGAGGAGGAGGAGGAGGAGGGGGAGGAGGAGACCGTATGAAAGGAAACATTCCTTGTCGCCCTTCGTATGTTGTTGCGCTGGTGTCATCTTGGCACCCTACCGGCTGCGCGGTACCGCCTGAGTTGACCGACTCTGACGTTGGCATCTAGCGTGCGGCGGGAGAAGGCTGCAACCGACACGTGGCTTGCCTCATCATGACCCCCTTCCCCCGGTTTGTGGCGCGCGCACGCGTGTGTGGGAAAGTTGTGTGTGTGTGTGTTTTCTTTTGTTATTAGCATCGACCGCACCAACTGGTTCACCAGTGAAAAGACGTCAATCTCAGTGCAAGCTGTGTGTGTGTGTGTGTTTTGTTACTTGTTCATGCCCCGCGACAAAAGCTTATCCAGAAAGAGTTCGTGCCAACGAGGAAAGTGCTCCAAGTCAGAACGCACGCCAAGAAGTACTTTGCTAAGCAACGCATGGCGATGATGCTCAGCGGGCAAAGCGAGGGGGGTGACGAGGACGGGGAGCAGACGCAGGGGTGGGGGGCGGGAATCGGGGCCATGGCCGGAGATTCGGAGCATTCAAGTCCGGAGGAGGGAGAAGCGGTGGCTGGCGAGGTGCGAGGTGTATTGTCGGCGAGGAGTTTTTTGTTGGGTGGTCTGGTTTGGGGTTTTTGAGGGAGAGAGGGCGGGTATATATTTTTTTGGCGGCGGTGGTGTGGACGAAGGTGTTGTCGCCAGGCGTTGGTCGCAGGCGCGACAATCGCACGACCCGATGACCGACTCTTTCCGCCCGTTTTGACGGACCGCGGCCGCCACCGCTTGAGACGAACATCCTGGGAGAGAGATAAGGGGTTGAGGTTCAGAAAAAAGATTGAAGCGAAGAGATTGACCATCAGAGTAGGTGTTCAGTTAAGCATGATAAGACCCGTACTGCTGTCGATGATGCGGTATCCCGTAGAGTCCTCTCTTCGCTGCGTTGGTTCAGAGCGTCTTTTTGCGACTCCACGTCCATCCACACCGACCCCCAAACGCGGGTAGCAACAGTGCATGTCGATCCCTTCTGAGACACGCTTCCTTGTGCGGCGAATCTGCAGTTTGAAGCGATGCATGTAACATTCGACCCGACACCCCACCTTCTCCGATTTGGGTGGCTCTAGTCTTTATTGGGTACTTTGAAGTATTTTTTTTATAGTGTTATTTTTTTCTGTTTCCGCTTCGCACCACACGTTGCGCCGCTGATTTTGAAAAATAACAACGTACTTTGGCCGTTGTATTTTCTCGGTGACGAAGCGGTGTTATCAGCACAAATAGCGGGGCCCGAAACGACACAAATCCTTCCGCATCTGTGAAATGACACTAATCCTTCCGGATCTCTGAAACGACATAAATCCTTCGGCATCTCTGGAGTACGCTGTACCGACAACCCCCAACGAGGCGAATCGCATTTTTGACCTGTGATATGACGTGCCCCCGCCTAACCCCGCCTCCCTACCATCACCCCCCTCCCCTATCGTCACAAATGTGCGTCTCCCCGCACAGTCCAAGGAGCAGGGCCGTGAGGAGGGGGGCGGGGCAGGGGTAGAAGGACGAACTGAAGAGGCGAAG